AGCAGCGGCGCCGCGCCCTTCGCCTCCCTGCGGGTGGCTGACCTGGGGGACGTCCACGTCAACCTCTACAACCTGCCCGACAGCTGCCGCCTCATCCGACAGGCCTACCAGCAGATCCTGGCCTCTGGCTCCCTGCCCCTCACCCTGGGTAAGGACCCCAGCCGTGCCACCGTGTCCCCCTGCTCCTCCAGAGCCCCCCTCTCCTCCTGCCCCTGCTCCATCCCGCCCCGGGAGAAGGGGAGCGATGAACCTGGGGGGTGTTGTGCTCGTTGCTGGGCTGAATGGGCACATTTACACCCTGTCTGCTGAGGTTCCTGCTGGCAGTGATGCCTCTCGTGTCAGAAATGGGGAGAATGGGGCTGTTGGAGTGCACGGCCTGAAGCTCAAGTGCAGATCCCATGGGGATGGTGCTTTGGGTGTCCTGCTGAGCAGGACCTGTGCAGTTTGTGCCCCTCTGAAAAGCCTGGAGCACCCAGCAGGGTGATTTGGGCACGTGTTCCAGTCCCACAGCTTGACATCACTACATGAGGAGAGTGTTCAGAGTAACGAGGGGCAAATTGCCAGTTACAGCCACCTCAGAAGTGACTTGAGCACCTATTTATAACCCTGGTCAAGGCTTCTGCTCCACCAGCTGCCCCTGCCGGCAGAATCATGTGTCTCTTGTCCTCCTATTTTTCCTGCAGAGGGGAGAGGGGAAGAAACCTGCACCCAGGAGCCTCAGGTTTTCCTGAGGGAGGGAAGCCCTGGGGTGTTTAAACAAGCAGAGGATAAATGCAAGGTGGAAGGGGGGGAGCAAAGTTCAACCTGGGAACGACTTGATGAGTGCTGAGCTCTTCTTGCAGTGTGTTCCACCCCCTTCCCTGTCCTGCTGCAGGTGGAGATCACACCATAACATACCCCATCCTCCAGGCCGTGGCTGGAAAGTAAGTTTCTGAGCTGAAGATGTAGAATAAAAAGACCTGGGAAAGGAGCCTGGTTTGTTGCCCACAGGGTTAGGTAGGAACTAACGAAAGCCGCCCTGTCTGGACTAGGCACGGTCCCGTGGGACTGGTGCATGTGGATGCTCACACTGACACTGGAGACACAGCCCTGGGGGAGAAGATCTACCACGGGACCCCATTCCGGCGCTGTGTGGAGGAGGGGCTGCTGGACTGCAGCAGGGTGCTCCAGGTTGGCCTCCGAGGCTCCTCCTACGACCCCGACCCGTACCAGTACAGCCGGGAACAGGTACCCACAGCCTCAGGCCTGTGCCCAGCACTGCTGGCTGTCCCTGCCATTCACACTGCACTGCCCCATCCCTGGCAGTGTTGAAGGGCAGGTTGGATGGGGCTTGGAGCAACCTGGGCTGGTGGGAGGTGTCCCTGCCCATGCAGGGGGGGTTGGATCTAGATGAGCTTTATGGTGCTTTCCAACCCAAACCCTTCCGTCATTCCTGTTTTCTTGGTTTTTGCCCACCTTTCCCTCATCCTCCATCTCTCTGTGCTGCAGGGTTTCCGGGTGGTCCCAGCTGAAGAGTGCTGGGGGAAGTCCCTGGTGCCCCTGATGGAGGAGGTGAGGAGGCAGATGGGGGACAGGCCTGTCTACATCTCCTTTGACATCGACGGCCTGGACCCCGCGTACGCGCCGGGCACCGGGACGCCTGAGATTGCCGGGCTGACACCTGCACAGGTGAGGGGGACACAGCTTCTTGTCCTAGTGGGAAAGGGATGTTTTTCTCCTGTTAAAGAGTTCGTGCCACCAGCTTGAGCAGGGAGCATTTCATGGTGGTAATGAGGAAGGGGAAACATTGAACTGATGTGATCTGGGCCATCTAGGCTGGCTTTCCTTGGCTGCACAAGGCCACCCCCTTCCCTGTCCTGCTGCAGGTGGAGATCACACCATAACATACCCCATCCTCCAGGCCGTGGCTGGCAAGTAAGTTTCTGAGCTGAAGATGTAGAATAAAAAGACCTGGGAAAGGAGCCTGGTTTGTTGCCCACAGGGTTAGGTAGGAACTAACGAAAGCCGCCCTGTCTGGACTAGGCACGGTCCCGTGGGACTGGTGCATGTGGATGCTCACACTGACACTGGAGACACAGCCCTGGGGGAGAAGATCTACCACGGGACCCCATTCCGGCGCTGTGTGGAGGAGGGGCTGCTGGACTGCAGCAGGGTGCTCCAGGTTGGCCTCCGAGGCTCCTCCTACGACCCCGACCCGTACCAGTACAGCCGGGAACAGGTACCCACAGCCTCAGGCCTGTGCCCAGCACTGCTGGCTGTCCCTGCCATTCACACTGCACTGCCCCATCCCTGGCAGTGTTGAAGGGCAGGTTGGATGGGGCTTGGAGCAGCCTGGGCTGGTGGGAGGTGTCCCTGCCCATGCAGGGGGGGTTGGATCTAGATGAGCTTTATGGTGCTTTCCAACCCAAACCCTTCCGTCATTCCTGTTTTCTTGGTTTTTGCCCACCTTTCCCTCATCCTCCATCTCTCTGTGCTGCAGGGTTTCCGGGTGGTCCCAGCTGAAGAGTGCTGGGGGAAGTCCCTGGTGCCCCTGATGGAGGAGGTGAGGAGGCAGATGGGGGACAGGCCTGTCTACATCTCCTTTGACATCGACGGCCTGGACCCCGCGTACGCGCCGGGCACCGGGACGCCTGAGATTGCCGGGCTGACACCTGCACAGGTGAGGGGGACACAGCTTCTTGTCCTAGTGGGAAAGGGATGTTTTTCTCCTGTTAAAGAGTTCGTGCCACCAGCTTGAGCAGGGAGCATTTCATGGTGGTAATGAGGAAGGGGAAACATTGAACTGATGTGATCTGGGCCATCTAGGCTGGCTTTCCTTGGCTGCACAAGGGGAAAGCAGAGCCCTGACCAGTCCACTAGGTCTGGTCATTCCCTCATCAGGTGCATTCCTTCAGCAGGTGCATTCCTCCATCCCAAACCTGCTCTTTTCTCCCCTAGGGTTTGGAGATTATCCGTGGCTGCCAAGGACTGAACATAGTGGGGTGTGACCTGGTAGAAGTGGCACCAATGTACGATGTCTCTGGTGAGTCTGAAGGCACCTGAGAGTAGGACGTGTCCCTGGTCTGCCAGCTGAGTGCCAGGGGGTGAAGGCTGTTGGGCAACCATGGCTTGTTTCTTTCCCCTCCTCCTCCCCCCTTTTTGCCTTTTTTTAGGTAACACAGCCCTCCTGGGGGCAAACCTGCTGTTTGAGATGCTGTGTGTCCTCCCTGGAGTGAAGACAATGTGAGGGCAGCTCCCACT